CCTCAACATCTCTGTTCATAAGATTGGTAAAAAAAACCTTTGTTAACGAGGTCTTTGGGCATACTTCCTTGCCTTGTAGGCTTACCAGATAGGAACAAAGCATGTACTCCTTAGAGTTGAGTCCATCCTCCTTTCTTTCCTTCTCAGAATCAACAATCCTTAGTATCATTTTGTTTTCAAGAAAACTTGATCCTCTTCTCTTAAATATCTTTTTGCACCTATTTGTAGGGCCTACCCCACAACACTATCCCTCAACCACAAAACGCTCTAGTTACATGCACAGTATGGGAGAAGCTTAACCCTTGAGGATTCTTAACATCCATGCCAACATCAACTCTGCCAACAATCTCCTCATTCTTGACCACCTTCCTTCTATGGCCCAAGTCAACTCCTGTCCTACCAATCATCACTTCCTTGATTTTGGCTTAAGACAGACCTAACTCAAATGCTTGAGTCTGATCTTAGTTGTCAAGGTGTCATTTAGGTGCCAGACTAGGCACCCTTGGTTGGGTGCCTTGCCCAAAGTCTTTGACTTATAGCAACTAGATGCTCTATTAATAAGTGCTTGCTTATTAATATTTATATTAATACATTTTATTATATGCTATATATATCATTTATACTTTATTTTAATGTTTTACTATATAAATTTAAAAGATCAAAGGGTCTTGAGGAGAGAGAAAGAAAGAAAGAAGAATGAAAGAATACAAGTATAAAGATGTTTTTACTTTGATCCCTTTCTCCCTAATTAAATAAAATATAAAGTCAACCCTTGTTTTTTTATTCTATTTTTCATCTTGAATATTTATCATATAAAGTCAATAACCTTTTTTAGCTACTAATTGATATAAAACTACTTATTAAATATTTATTGTAGTAGTATTATTTATTCTTTAAAATTCGCTTATTAATTGATATGAAATTGTTTTATACTTATTAAAGTTCCTTCACAGCCACTTCATTGGTAACCTCAGACCTACTTGCTCCTTTTCTCCAAACCAGCCACCACCTCTCCTAAAAGCGCCCCTATGCCATTATCCAAAGACACCTCCAAGTTGCAGACCCCCTATCCCCTCTTCTTCATTTCCTTTACCTTCATCCCTCTTACCCGATTGAGTCACCAGGCCCTCACCTCCCCCTGTTGCCCTTCCTCAACTTCTTTTCCCTCTTCACCAAGCTCTCCAAAATTTTCCAAATTAAAAAGAAACTAACCCGGTTCACCCTTTCGTAGTCGTTCTTCACACTTAAAGTTTCTTGGGCTTGATCAAAGCCAACCTTCTCTAGTTCTCCATGTATCGAAGTTCCCTATGCATTTGCCTCCGTCTATGCAGCTTCATCCTCCTTGAGCTCCTCCTTTCCATTATAAGTGAATTGAAATGGAGATCCTTTGCAAGTCTTAATCCTTGAAGGAGGGCATGAACGTTAGCTTCTTAAGCTTTCTCTACTATAATTGGGCCACTAAAAACCCAACATAAATCCCCCTAAAATTGGAGAATATCCTACCAATACCAATAATTGGCTAAAAGATAAAGTTCCTCCTGAAGCTACCATCTACAAAGAATAAAATTGCTATTCTATATGGGAGGATGAGTATAATAAGAAGGGAATTCAATAAGGGAGGTAAATAAATAATCTTGCCAACATCTACTAAGGTTTCCAAAGCCTACTCCTTCAATGGTCTTGTACATGCTCATCCAAGAAATCGACGAAGATAATACCCTATTTTTTAGATCATCCCAAAGATATTATTTGTTTATCAAATACTCTTCTGTTTCTCTCTTTCCAAATGCTCCAGAAGATTACATGCATTTTTAGCTTTCTAGTGAAGCTATTTTTAGTGACTTCTTCGAAGCAAGGTTTAGAATGTTAGCATGCCAGTGGAAATGCTAGTCATCAAAATAAAAGAAACATGTTGGAAATATCATAAATATCATAAGGAAATATTGTAAAAATTGTAAGGTTGGTAGAAACTTTGTCAATATGCAAAATATAATGATATTTTATAAAATGATAAAAGAAGCAAAGGCACACCCTTTTAAATTAACTATCTTGTTCCAAATCACTAAACAAAGATATGAAATTGAGGTTATAAACAAAAGAATACGTTCACAATTACCAAATAATATATTACACAAAGAAAAACAAATATTTAACTCTATGCTTGAAATAAATATTTAGCTAGATCAAAGTGGTTGTAAATTAGGCGGGCAATAACAATGCTACACCACACATCTACAATTCTATGACCAACTTATAATACTATTTCTTGTACTCCATATAGTGTAGGTAATGTTCACTAGAAAACATGTATGTCATGGAAACTGTCTCTTGTACTCCACATAGTGTTGCTAGTGTTCTTTGGGGAATATGTTGATTTTGATAAATTTTTGTGTCGCTAACCATGAAAATATTAGGGAAATTAAGAACATTTTAAACCATTTCCTAACGTGATTCAATCAATGTTGAAACCCACTAAAACATGTCCTTAATTTTCTATCTTTGGACCTTCCATAGGCTTGAGAAAGCCTTCCCTAACTAAATTTTTTCTAGCCTTGGCCTGTACATGGATTTTACTTGGATAGTCATAGACTTGTGCTATATTTGGACTTCTACCACATTATCAACTACAGCTCTTTCATTGTTTGCATATATTACAGAAAATGATTGCATCATCTACAAGACAAAATCAATAAATTGGTCTCCCACAATGATGCTATTCCCAAATTCAAACTTTTTCATAGGCTTATCCTTTCATTCCATTTTGATACTAAGGTGAGATCCTAACAAAAATTTTGAGTTGCCATGCATTCAAATAGAACGTGTTGAATATTTTGTTTTTTCTCTGAGAAAGTCTGACACAAACTATCATATTCTCTCAGCTTGTCAACTATTTACTTCTTGTATGAAATTGCATTAATCAAGCAGTGCTATAAGAATGCAATAATTTGAGGTGGTATCAATTTCTAGTTCCACCTCTTGGATTTCTCAGGATTGTGTTGGAAGTTGATTGTTGAATGAATTAGTCTAAGGGTTGTTTTTTTTTTAAACACTCCAAATTAGTTTCCACATGGAATCCTTAGAATTTAAGATGAATTTGTCTTCTTGTTGAGGAAGACCTTATGTGTAGATTTCATATTAGACATCTTACATGGCATTGGCATTCATACATTTTTTTTAAATAGGCATTCATACAATTTTATTAGCTAGATTATGTGCCCATTTGGGAGGGATTTCACGCAAAGGTTTTTAGCTTTATAAGGTGGGCCCCATATAGAAAGCCTAGAAACTTGTTTTTTGGTCATTTTCTAGGAAGTAATTTATCTAAGCAAATGTATTTACCTGCGTTATTTTGCTAGGAAATGTTAGTTAAATGAGGCAGTTTCCCATAGATTCAACTATTATACCAAAATAATTTGTAACCAATCAACTAGTATCATAAAAGTGATAACCTATCAGGTGGTTATTTATCAAATTCACTGGGGGTTTTGATTGGTCAAAACCCTGTTGGTATCATCTCTTTCCAGTAGAATAGACCCAACTTTTGTGTATTATTAGGGACATTTTAGTCCCACAAAATTTCCTCATCCATGGGTAAGTGATTTATCCACCTGGGAGATGTGTAAAACTTACCGGCATAAATATGTACTAAAGGCAAAATTCACTTTCGGTGGACCTTAACTTCCATGCAAAAGATTGATGGAAGTTGGTTAAACCCCAACTTACTAGTAAATGAACGGGCCCTTAATAAATCTCTTTTCAATGAAATTAATCTTAATAGCTTCTTTTATGCGGTCCAGAATGCAACTAATCTAAGCTAAAGGCTGAAACACTCCCAAACAAGCTTTAGATTATGGCCTTTGTAACTTGGTTAGTAGCATTGTTTGTATGGTTACCTGCTCCAGTAACTCAAAGAGCTTCTCCTCACTCCAAGATGTGTCTTTATTAATAAAATCTACCACCATTACATTAGAACATCGAAAGAAACATGAGAAAAGGCTAAAAATTGTGAATATGTGGAATCCTTAGATCTAACGATGCATTAACTTTTCACTTGGATCAATAACCCAAAACCTGAAATTATGATTTCATACTCTTTGCCCAATTTATAAAAAAATTCCTAATTTGCCATGGATGATAATATAAGAGTGTTTATTGACAGAAATACCCCAAAAAAATTCTTTTTGAGGTGATTATGCTTTTAAAATTCTTATATGCTATTTTGACATAGGGTTGCCAATGGGTCAGGTGCAACCTAATGGATCTGATGGGCTCAAACCAATTGGACTGGTTTTAGTCTTGAACTGACTTAAACCTGACCCTGAGCCATATATAAAATATTAAATAAATTAATATAGTATTTACATATCAAATGTATAATATTTTTAGTAGGTTTATTACAATTGGGTCCATCTAGTCATACCCAATTGTTCTGAGAACCGAGCGATTTGATTTTGGGTCTAAAATTACAAACTCTATTGGGTTTGGTTCGATTCCGGGTCCTTAATATTTATTATTGATTTCGTTTCCAATTTTATGTAGACCAGACCCAGCTCAACTTGTTAACAACCCTATTTGGACAGACTTCTCTTTTTGTACTTTTGAATGTATGAAAACAGAAAGCACATACTTTTAGTCACCAGGACTGGACTCTGTAAGGAGGTTTGATCGTGATAGTTCATCAGCAACAACTTGTATATATTTTTCGTGAATGTACTGTTCTTTGGATAACCCCCCTGCTTCCTCGGTGTGAAACATCGTTGCAGTCTCATGTTCATACCGTATGTGCTTACTCCTTGGCGTTAATGAAAAAAGGTCTGCTTTCAACTTACTTTTTAATTGATTCCCAGATCTCTATCCGGTGGCAGAGATCATGTTGGATGCGTGTTGTGAGCAGATCCCAACTCGCGGTAGCGAGAACAGGAGAACTAGAAGTGAGCAATGTAGTGAGTAAGGCAGAAAAGGAACACTGAAATTCAATTTCTCATGTCGACGCGTGAGGGGATTTGATTTACGGATACATAAAATCATTAACTGACACGAGTCTTGTCGTTTCAAAATGAAATGACATAAAAGGCCTTTTAGCTGTCATCCGGTATTTCGGTCACCGTTCATACCTATTTCATCATGCCATTATTTTCTCTCTCTCTCTCTTGTCTGTGGCGATGCAGATTAGGTTTGTAGCAGATCCGAACAGATAACGCGATAACCAGAATCTAAGCTATCTGCCTGTCTCCGCTTAATATGAAGGTAGAGAAGGTTCGAAACCCTCTCTCCACCATTTTTATCAGGTACGCTTCTCTCTCAACTTCTTTCCTTCTCTCCCGTTGCCTTTTGTGATCTCTTCTGTTATCGTAAAGGTGTCTGATATTTTTATGTTTTTGGTTTTTTAAATTGTTTTTATTGATCCAATCCGCCAATTGTTATTTTCTTTAACATAGTTGATTGTTTTCATTCGAATATGATGTTTCGATCTCTGTTAAGAGCGGATCGGAATCCATTCTCATTGTCTATGTTGCAGTCAAGGTTCGAAGCAAGGTTTTTGTAAGACCTATTGGCCTAAAATTTTGTCCATACGCACAGTATGGCAGCAGACCAGAAATGAGAGGGAAAGGGAGGACAGAGAGAGGGAATGGGAGAAAGAGAGAGCACAGAGAGAGGGAGAGGGAGAGAGACAGAGAAGACAGAGAGAGGGAAAGGGATAAAGAGAGAGAGCACAAAGAGAGGGAAAGAGAGGATCGAGAGAGGGAGAGGGAGAGGGAGAGGGAGAGGGATAGAGAAAGAGACAGAGCAGACAGAGAGAGGAAGGGAGAAAGAGAGAGAACACAAGGAGAGGGAAAGAGAGAATCGAGAGAAGGAGAGGGAGAAGGATAGAGAGCAGAGTGAGAGAGAGAGAGAGAAAGAGGATCGAGAGAGGGAGAGGGAGAGAGGTAAAGGGAGGGAGCGAGCAAGACAGAAGAGGGAAAGGGAAGAAAGAGAGCGTGAGAGGGAAGATGGGGAGAGGGAGAGAGAAAGGGAGAAGGTCAGGGAGAAGGAGAAACGTCGGGAATTGGATAGGGATGAGGACAGGGAAGCTGATGATTATGACAGGAAGCGGCAGAAGAGAGAGGAGGATTATAATCAGGAAAGAGAACGTGAACAGAGAAAATTGGATGAGGAGATGGACAAACGGAGGAGG